GTGACAACACATGCTGGAGAGGTTGTGGAGAAAGGAGAACCCTCCTCCATTGCTGGTGGGAATGTAAACTGGTACAACCACTTTGGAAGTCAATCTGGCACTTTCTCAGACAAGTAGAAATAGTGCTTCCTCAAGATCCAGCTATACCACTCCTAGGCATATACCCAAAATATGCTCAAGTATACAACAAGGACATTTGCTCAACCATGATCGTAGTGGCTTTATTCGTAATAGCCAGAATCTGGAAACAACACAGATGTCCCTCAACGGAGGAATGGATACAGAAATTGTGGTACTTTTACACAATGGAATACTACTCAGCAATTAAAAATGAAGAAATAATGAAATTTGCAGGCAAATGGTGGTATCTAGAAAAGATCATCCTGAGTGAGGTATCCCAGGAGCAGAAAGACACACATGGTATATACTCACTTATATAGTCCTATAAGATAGGATAAACATACTAAAATATGTGCATCTAAAGAAGATAAACAAGAAAGAGGACCTGGGGGAAGATGATCAATCCTCACTTAGAAAGACAAATGGGATGGACATGGGAAGTAGGAGAAAACAAGTAACAGGATAAGATCCTACCGCAGAGGGCCTCTGAAAGACTCTACCTAGCAGTGATCAAAGCAGATGCTGAGATTCATAACCAAACCTTCGGTAGAGTTTAGGGAATCAAATGATAAAATTGGTAGTTAATATGACCAAGAGAGGACAGGAGCTCCACAAGGACAAAATATATCAGGGCACAGGGTTTTTTTCTGAGACTGATTCTCCAAACAAGGACCATGTATGGATATAACCTGAAACCCCTGCTCGGATGTAACGCATGGTAGCTCAGTATCCAAGTGGGTTTACCTAGTAAGGGAAACAGGAACTATTTCTGACATGAACCCAATGACTGGCTCTTTGACATCCCCCCATCCCAACCCCTGAGGGAGGAACAGCCTTGCTAGGCCACAGAGGAGGACATGGCAGGCAGTCCTGAAGATAAACTAGGGTCAGATGGAAGGGGAGGAGGACCTCCCCTAGCAGTGGACTTGGAAAGGAGCAGGGAGGAGATGAGGGAGGGAGGGTGGGATTGGGAGGGAATGAGGGAGGGGATATGGCTGGGATACAAAATAAATAAACTGTGATTAATATTAAAAATAAATAATAATAAATAAATTAAAAATAAATAATAATAAAAGGGGAAAATGTTTTATTTTTCATTAAATAATCTTGTTATATTTAAATATTATAATTAATATATTAAAGCAATGGTCAATTGCATACTGTACCTTATCTAAAAAGTCTTACAGTTGGAAGAGTTGTTGCAATGGTGAACTAGAAGTGTACAGAACAGGTATATGTATAGATATACTATACATCTCATTCAGGCAAATCATCAGAGTCATCTAGTAGATAAAGTTATGATTAACACCGAGTATGCTTCAGGAAAAGAATATGTAAATTTACTAAAACGTAAAATGATTTATGTAAGGAAAGTATTAAATACTTTAAAAGGTTGCTTTGATGTTTACATGTAGGAGAACCAGGCATAGAAAACTGCAAAAAAATTCAACTTCACAAAATGAATGTCAGATAAAGATGACTGGAATCAGAGTATGAGGCCAATCAAATACAATTCCACTACTATTCTTAATACCACCACCTAAATGGAGAGGACTTAGACACCCCTGCTTAGATGTAGCCCATAGACAGCTCAGTCTCTGTGTGGGTTCCCTAGAAAGGGAAGAAGAGACAGTCTGACATGAATTCAGTTGCCTGCTCCTTGATCACCTAGCCAGCCCACAGAGGAAGAGGATTCAGGCAGTCCTGATGGGACCTGATAGCCTAAGGTCAGACAGTAAGGGAGAAGGACTTTCCTTATCAGTGGATGAGGCGAGGATAATCACTTATGATTTCAGTCTCTCTACCTAAAAATAATACTCTATAATGCACCCTTTATTTCTACTGACTGTAATTTAATTCAGAAAGCTGTAATAATGATATTAATGTTTTGAAGTAAAACTTCATGCACCAGTAAAAACATAGTCTGATTTAGACTCTATATTCTGACAGTTTAATGATTGTATGTTTCATTTATATTCATAAAAATACAGACTTTTGATTAATTAATTGCCAGAGAAATGAAAGATTTTTTTATTGAGCTTCCCTTTCCATTTTCCCAGAGTCTCTTTGGGATGTAAGAATTAGCATTATGATGATGATTATTAGAAACATGAGAAAATCTGTTGCTTCAGCCACACACAGAGCATGCCATGGTCTTGCCACCATCACTCTTTCTGTATTTATTTTCATACACTTAAACCTTATTAAAAACAAATGAGTTCTTACATTCCATTTCATCCTAGTTGATTGCCTTCATCTCTGCTGCCCCAGCTGTTTTCACTTCTTACACCTACCTCAGTGATCATGTGTACCCAGGACCAGCTGCTCACATTTACTTCATGTTTATGATACATCATGCATCCTTCTAAAGTTTTTTTCATTATTCGTTAATTGATACGTCTCAATCCTCTTTTTTTTTAACATGAGAAAAGTTGTTACTCACCCAACTAGGTAATGGTAAGTTTGGGATTTACAACTAGTTAATTTGCCTTAAGACCTTACCTCATAAGATATTAACACTGTGAAGGTCATTAGTACTTCCATGGGTATTTCACTGTCCATGCCAACTTTTCTCTTTCTCTTTTATCTCTAATTTTTCTGAGGTCATATTCTAACTTCTTACCTTTGTCATTGCTAGTGATGTGCCTCCCTCCTTTTTGGTCAGGTGATACCCTCTGAAGACTGTATTCTGACTTATCTCTTATAGCTCCTGTAGTAAATAGTAAAATACCATTCACATATTGAGCTTTCTATAAATCTTGGTTATATGGATTTACCAGAGAAGAAATAAAAAGATAGTCCAAAATATATCACAAAAGAATTTGAAGCCATTTTAATAATCTACCTGGCCAGTCTATAACTTGAAAACTATGATTATCCTAACTGAGAATTTATTTCTTTACAAATTTATTTTTTATGTTTTTGTATGTTACAGAAGTGAGTAATGATTTGAACATTTTGGTTTCATAATAATTCATTCAGTTGACTGAGTCCTTTGATTTTTATAAAACCATATTACAGTATTCAAAACTATTCTTCCAAGAATCTTGCTGAATTTTACTTACTGTTAAAAGACTAATTAGAAATCATTAAAAAAAAGAAATCATTGTTTATAATAATGACTATATTGATATGACTGATTTGTTTTCTCTGATTCAAATTATATTTGCATTTGTGCATATATTAGCTCACTTATATAATATCTTGTTTGGGAGGGAGAAAAGATTAATTATGAAAAGTTAACAAACTATCACAGTTACTTAAAATATCCAAAAGAAAAAATGATTTTAACTATTATTTAGAGACAGTTTATTTTAATTCACACACTTTCTTGTTTTTAAGGAATGAGGTGACACATATATGAGGCATTTCTTTCTTGAGCCAACAGGAGATTACATTCACCCCCTTTCTTTACATGTTGGTATTACACTTTATTTTGAGAATTGTCCAGTAGAAATTTTAATAATAACCATAACCATAATTCTCAAAATATTTATAACAACACATTAGATGTAGAATTTAAGATGTGTCTCTTATTCTTTCAAACTCAAAGTTACTTATCTACACGGGTAACATATCCATAATAAAGAACAAGGTAGTTAATGGGGGTTGGTATAAACTTACAGAATTCAGAAAAAGAATTCTTGGGGGAATTCAATGCTAGAATTACATATTCTTTTCTTTTTCTCTTTTAAGCTCTGCAATCTATAAACATGTATCTCACCTGAAAAAAAGTATAAAAGCTAATTATCTAAAGTACAATTTCATAGTACTCAGAGGGCCAGAGTACTTTTATGAATGGCATTAGAATGTATTTTATTATATTTTAAACGTTTTTCTCTTAGTATTTTAATGATGAAATTGGGTTTGTTAAATACAATATAGATTGTCAACAACAAAATAGCCTCCTAATGATCTATGCAGAAAGTACAATCAAGTTAGAGACCTAGATGTTCATGCCAGCTATGAGGAAATAGGAGAGAGAGGGGGAGGGAAGGGTGGGACACATACGTACACACACATACACACACACACACACACACACACACACACAGAGAGAGAGAGAGAGAGAGAGAGAGAGAGACCTTTTTCATGTTCAGGTAGTTATTTTTATTGATTTTTGGTGGCAGCAAATGTCTGCTTCCCTGCAATTCATTCTACATGACCAAACAAGATTTTTTTTAGGTCTTTCCCTTACCTGAAAACAAAACAAAACAAAAACCGAGATTGTTTTCTGAGTAGGTAGGCACATTTTAAGGTGAGTTACTACTCAATTAGGATGGCATTATATTTCGTACTGTTGTTTGTTTAACTGATGGCCTAGAACAGAATTTTCAGAGGTGAATGTGAGAAAGGTAACAAGGCAAATTTAAAGCAGTGCTTTCTGGAATGATGCTCATCCCCTCAACCCCCCAGACCCTTCAGAAGCTCAGCTCGGTTTCCTTTCCTTTTCACCATATATCACTGTGGCATTGGTGCACCGTGAGCATGCTGCCCACAGATAAACAGATAAATACCCTTGCTTGCTCTTGGTACAAGAAAATGTAACATTTTTAGTAAAAGACATAAACGACAAGTGAGTTTGCCCTTGGCAGATATAGCCCAGTGACTAACACTGGTGAGTCTTTTTCAGAATCAGCCACACTGACCCTCTCTTCATTTTTAAATAAAGCCATTCAATTTGGTTTTAAGCCCAGTTAAGAGCAAAAAAAAAGCTTAAAATACATAAAAGGACAATATAAATCAGCAGAGCTTGCCAACTGGAACCTACATGCAGAGGAGGATTATAATATTGTTTCCCCAGGAGACAGTGACTAAGGCACGCGCACACCAACTATCCCCAAAAAGAGGTAAAGAGAGAGTGAAATGGCTCAACGTACACACACCCCGCTCCATACCGGGGACGAGTCTCCAAGCTGCGGCGTGTGCTCTCGGAGAGCCAGGCTGAAGCTGACCGCCCCCACGGCCACGCTGGACACCCCCAGCCCTATCTCCAGCACAGAGAGCACCAAGAGGCTCCCAATGATCTGGCCGCTGGTGCACATCTTCCTTGGGTCTTCATTCCTTCCAGCTCAGAGAAGGAAGCTGATCATCCACCTTCTTTCTTCCAAAGTCCTCCTCAGCCCTTTCTGCCCCCTACCACAGTCCAGATCCTCAAACTTTTCTTTCTTCACCAGCAAAACATTATTCACAAGGTCTGGATTTCCAGAACCAGAAAACCATTTTCCTGGCCAGGTCAGAGAAGAAAGAGCTGCTTCAGACCCTGGCACATTCACACTGAGACCGCTGGGTGATAGGTGGGAGTCCAGAAGCAAGCACTGGGAAGCTGGGCTCTGGAGAGCCAACCCTGTATCTGAGCCTTGGCAGTGCCCGACGCTCTGCCCAGAGTTCTGTCTTGTCTTGTCTCTGCTCTGCACTTCTCGGAGCCTCCCGCGCCCCTCTGGCTCCCTTCTCTTTTCTGGAAGAGGAACAGAGCTTGGCTTCCTAGAGATAAAGGGTTGCTGCTCACAACCTCTCTCCGCCTGTCCTCTCGCCTCCCCTCCTTTGTTTTCCTGACAGCGCAAAGTGCTTCTGTGAGTCCCTAGGTCTCTAGGCAGAGGAGGTGGATGGTATTCAGCACCACGTTCCTGGCACTTGCCATGTCGCCAGAAAAGCGACCTTGTCTGATGATCTCTTTCAGCCTGGGTTTTCTTCTCCGTCCTTGTAGTCCCTTTCCTCTCTCTCTCTCTCTCTCTCTCTCTCTCTCTCTCTCTCTCTCTCTTGATCTGATTCTCTCTCATCGCTATGACCTCATTGGGGTTTAGGAGCCTGACGGAGGAGGGAAAATCCTGATGTATTGGCTGACCCCTTATTCGCCCCGCCCCTGGACCCAACCGCAGGATCCCAAATTCCCTACTTCCGCATCTCCTTTACTCAGTTCCTCTTGGTTTTCTATCCAGCCAGGGTTCTATGCCTGGTGCCTATATCAACGTGGGCTCATTCTATGCAAAGCTTTCCTCTACACGTATTTTCCTTTGCTTGGGGAGCAGAGAGCAAAGAAAAGCCAAGTGCACCGGAATAGAGAAAAGCTAGACCTCTTTCTTATTATTCAAAGATTCTAAGGGACCCTCACCGAAGGACTCATCTGTACCAGTGAGCCCAGGCTGCAGCCTGCTTTTTGAGAGGCGGGGGGGGGGGGGGGGGGGGGGGGGAGAGAGGGAGGAAGAAAGAGAAAGAGGGAGAGAGAGAGACAGTGACAGAGGGGGGAAGGGATGGGGAGGGGAGAGAGGGAGAGGGAGGAAGAAAGTGAAAGAGGGAGAGAGAGAGAGAGGGAGAAAGGGAGAGAGAGAGAAAGAGAGAGAGGGAGAGAGGTCTCTACCATCACTACCTGGTACCTTTCCTATCCCAGGGGGAAGAATCTGTGGGCTGTAGTCACACTTCCCTTGCTACTTGCCCACACATCTTGAGATGCATAGTCAGACCCAGCATGACAGAAACCCTGTGTTATTATCTAATTTTAGTTGAGATACATATACTTAAGTATTACACCAAAACAAGTATTACATACAAATGAAGAAAAAGTTTGACCTAGTGCAGAACTGACCATCTTCAGTTCCTCTGAATCATTATGGCAGGGACTCAAGCATGGCTTGTGTAATTTCTCTAGACATAGGAAAGTCGCTATGCATGGATGCGTTTTATATTTTCCTGATCCCCCCCCCCCCGGAAACATCTCAAGGATATCATCCTTGATATTCATGGATGAATCCTTAATATTCAAGGAAGGGAAGGGATAGTTCTAAGGTATGAACCCATCTTCAGTTAGAGATGGGTTGGAGGGAAATATAGACAAAGGGGGTCCACAATTTGAGTGCGTTTTGGCCTCTGCACACATGCAGACAAGTGCAGAGTAAGCACCATTGGGATTACATGACTCATATATTCTTTTTCAGGCTCCAGTGTTGAGGAAAGAGAAGCTGTTTCTAATTCTGCAGCAGGAGTGTCAGTTTTACCTTTGAATATTTTATTCAGGACTTTCTTTATAGCTTAACCTCTACATTTTCATTTTTTTTGTGATTATTTTACAAGTTTTAAAACTTGAGTCATGTGCCTCAAAATTAACAAAAAATCAAAGATGGGTTACAAGTTATTAAATGTTAAGCTATTGTGCTATTTGGAGCACAGCTTACATATTTATGTTGATTCATGATTAGTGATGTTCCTTTCCACTTCTTAAAACATTTCCCCTCAGATGGCCAGTTTCCAGAACTTCTCAAGTAGTTTATGGATCTAATGAAGCAATATTTATGATATTTAAATATTGTATAAGTCAGACATAAGCAGAAATAATGAGACATCTATGTCGTCTCACTTCTGATTTAATTTTAGTCACTTCTTTTTTTTAATTTTGTTGTCTTTTAGAAGAATAAAACAAGTTATTATCAAAATACATCAATGCGGTTTTGTGGGGAAAAGGATAACCCTGGGAGAGAATTGTAGCAAACACACACTGGGTGTTAAGCATACAGGACCTGTAAAGTAACCAAGAAACAAGTACTGAGTTTGATTGTTCATTCATAGCAAAGGTGACTATTTGAAGCCAATTATCTTAGTATCTAAAAGCCTAGTCATATGGCCAAATATGACCACCTTTGATTTATTTTGGGTCATTTATATAAAACACAAAGCGTCTGAAAATCTGAATTTACTCAGAACAGATTAAATCTATCTTCACTTCTGAGAAACTACAGATGAGTTAAAAATCAAACTTTAGATGATAGTTTGGGAGTGATATATTAAAAAATCACTATCCACAGAAGAACTGACCTATTAAATTAACTGACCTATTAAAAACATGACTACCAACATTACAACTACAAGGTATTTACAGCACCTTTTCTTTGGCACAAAGTATATTTTGCACAATTTTTCAATCAATGTAAAGAGCTTCCTAAAGTGATCCTAAATACTTCTAAAATTTCTTCATAGTCACAGAAATCAAGAACAAAAACGAGTTCAAGCTGAAAAACATTTATTTTTATTATCAGTTTCTCTCAAGATTATCTCAGAAAAGGAATTATAGTATTAAGCTATAAATCAAGAGATTAATATAAAATCCATTCTATCCAAACTCCAGTCTTTCACAGTTCAGCATTTAATTTTTCTTATGTCATGGTACAACAAAAGTCTTACTCATGAGATCTATTGAGATGGCTCAACACTTCCTTATACTTAATAAGCTTGCTACCTTTTGACTTGTATATAATATAAATGAAAATGTGGGTAGCCTCAGTATAATTCTAAAGCTCTTAGCTAATTAATCATTCTTTACGGTTTTCTCCTTTAAGGATATTAAAATCACAAATAAGTATTCAAAAGTTACACTCATTTTTCCAAATTAGATTTATAGAAATTTTAATGTTTTGTTAAAGAAACAGACAGGAATTAGTAAACAAATCATTTATGGTATGAATGATAACCCCCAAAATCTCATGCAATAAAAGTTTGCTCCTGTGACTGGAAGTGAAGGGAGTTAGGTCATCAGGAGTATAGTCCTCATGGTATGTTGGGGTTCTGTCATTTCTCTTTTTTTTTCCTCCTCTTGTCCTGGCTGCACATGTAATCAGGTCACTCTGCCAGTGTGGTAGCTGTCAAGAGGTTCCATCTCACCACAGGATAAAAACCTGTGTGGATGATCAACCATAGACTAAATCCTCTAAAACCATGAGATAAAATAAACCTCTTTCTTTCATGTTGGAATCACTCAGATAATTTGTTACTATAACAGAAAATTGACCAATATACTCTCCCACTTAATGTAGGAGTTTACCATTGGCAAAATGACAATGGTAGTCATTACTGCAGGGTGAGTTATTGAAAAGTCCTTATGCTGATCAACACAAACCCTGTGTCAACTTAACACAAGCTAGAATCACTAGAGAATTCCTCAAAGGAGGAATTCCCTTCATCATGTTGGCCTGTAGGCACAGTCTGTGAGGGTATTTTCTTGATTAGTGATTCTTGTAGAAGGACCTAGCACACTGTGGACAATGCTCCTCCTGGGCAAATGGAGTGAGAAAGCAGACTGAACAAAACATGCGGAGCAATCCAGTATGCAAGATTTCTTCATGTTCTCCACTTCAGATTCTGCTCTAGGTTCCTTACTTGAGTTCCTGAATTGGCTACCCTTGTGATGGACTGTAACCTATAAGCCAAACAAACCATTTTCTTCAAAGTTTCTTTTGTTCAGTGTTTTATCACAATAACAAAAAAAGCAAACTAGAACAGTTCCTGAAAATATAAGTGGTCATTTTTGATAATAATTTGATTTAGAATGTTTGTTATAAATCAAACATTTATAGTGGCACAGGCACTGGACAGAATGGTCAGTGTAGCCTAAACAATTAAGGAAAGAAACATCATAATGTAAACTTGTACAACCACTCTGGAAATCAATCTGGTGCTTTCTCAGACAACTAGGAACAGCGCTTCCTCAAGATCCAGCTATACCACTCCTAGGAATATACCCAAAAGAGGCTCAAGGGACATTTGCTCAACCATGTTTGTATCAGCCTTAATTATAATAGCCAGAAGCTGGAAACAGCCCAGATGCCCCTCAGTGGAGGAATGGATACAGATGTTGTGGTACATCTACACATGGAATATTACTCAGCAATAAAAAAACAAGGAAATCATGAAATTTGTAGGTAAATGGTGGGATCTGGAAAAGATCATCCTGAGTGAGCTATCCCAGAAGCAGAAAGACGCACATGGTATATACTCACTCATATAGACATATAATATAGGATAAACCTACTAAAATCTGTACACCTAAAGAAAATAATCAAGAGGGAGGACTCTTGCTAAAATGTTCAATTCCTATCCAGAAAGGCAGAGAGGATGGACATCAGAAGAAGGAGAAAAACAGGGAACAAGTCAGGAGCCTGACATAGAGGACCTCTGAAGGGCTCTGCCCTGCAGACTATCAATGCAGATGCTGAGACTTATGGGCAACCTTTGGGCAGAGTGCAGGGAATCTTATGAAAGAAGTGGGAAACAGTAAGATCTGGAGAAGACAGGAAC